GGGGGATTAGTGACCCTATGGGACAGAATTGAATCGACTACATCTTTCTCCTGCTGAGCGGCTGGTGGGTTCAAACTGCAGACCTTTCAGTTAGCAATTGAGCACTTCACCACTGCATGGCCAGGGCTCCTTGGAAATACTACCAAAACAAAAATACAAACCCACTGCAGTGGAGTTGATTGCGATTCACAGCGACCATATAGGGCAGAGTAAAACGTCTCCAGACGGTTTCCAAGGCTGTAAATCCTTGGAAGCAGCCTGCCACATCTTTCTCCTGCCAAGAGGCTAGTGGGTTAGAACCACTGTGCAATACGTGTAATAAGAAGGCCAGAAATGGAGGACCTTTGGGGTCACTGGGCTCTGGATCCTGGGTTCTGCGCTATGGGTACCATGCAGGAAAGATGTGGGGGAATTTGTAAACATACGGATTTCTGGCCCTGGGTGGAGGTATCAACCTTAGAGAGCCAAGCATAAAAATCGGCACTTTTAAAAAGCATCCTAACATCTATAGGGAGGAGCCCTAGTGGCACAGGGGATAAAGTGATTGACAGCTAAACGAAAGGTCAGAAGTTTGTAAACACCAGCCACTCCTCAGGAGAAAGATGTTGACAGTCTGTATCCTTAAAGGTTTCAGCCTTGGAAATCCTATAGTACAGTTCTACCCTGTCCTTTATGGTCACTGTGAGTCTGACTTGATGGCAATGAGTTTTTTGATTCAGCATCTATAGAAAACTGCATCTATAGAACAGCAGAACACACATTCTTCTGGAGTGCACATGAAACATTCTTCAAGATTGACCATCTGCTAGGCCATAAATTTATAAAAACTGAAATCATACAAAGTATGTTCTACAATAGAGTGCAATTAGAAAGCACTCTATTGTAAGAGAAAGAAATTTGGGAAATTCACAAATACATGGAAATTAGCACACTTCTGAATAACCAATGGGTCTAAGAAAAAAACAAAGGAAATTTAAAAATATATTGAGATGAATTAAAACAAAAGCACAACATGCCAAAATTTATAGGAGGTACACCAGTGTTCATTGCAGGACTATTCACAGTAGCCAAAAGTTGGAAACAACCTATATGCCCATCAACAGATGACTGGGATAAACAAAATGTGGTACACACATGCAATGGAGCCATAAAGTGAAATGAAGTCCTGGTTCATGAAAATATGTTGAGTGATTTAAAAAAAAAAAAACATGATGAGTGAAATAAGTCA